CCCCCCTGCTTCTGCCATAAAAAACAGGGTTTTTTCTTATCTTCTTTCCTTTATACTTTCAATTTAGTGTACAGTGGCTATGTCACAGATGACTTCCTAATTTTCACGGACAGACAAAATGGTGTAATATGGCAAGTTGATCTGATTCAGTGGCAACTTCACTCCATCTTTGCCCAGTGTAATAATCCCATATCCGCAAGTTACGACCCCATAGAGCAACGTGTTTACTGGACTGAAGTTGTCGCCTTCGCTAAAATAAGAAGAGTAAATGTTGATGGAACAGTGCCGGAGACCGTCTTTAATTTCACTGTTGGTAAGTGTGATGTTCACCTACTTCCACTGACAGATTCAGAATTTAAATTTTAGGCATACTGACACGCACGGCGACACACACACACACACACACACACACACACAGAGAGAGAGAGAGAGGTGAGAGAGGGAGAAAGGTCATATTAAAGGTCAAACTTCTCTTCTCAGGGAGCGCGCCGGACGCCGTTACAGTTGACCATATTTCCCGCCTATTGTACTACACCGAATTCAGATATGAAACCATTGGTGTGATGAGATTGGACGGCTCACAACACAAGATCTTGTTAAGAACTGGATTGGATATGCCGAGAGCGATAACGTTGGATCCAGTTAATGGGTATGTAAGAGGGATTCACTGTTTTTTTAGAGTTGGTATTATCAAAATTGAAATTCGTGGTTTTTGTGTCTTAATCTAGTTCTGTTTTAAAGGTGCATAATACTAAATTTGCACTGCTCTGTTTTAGCTCTAATCAATTAAAGGTAAAGAAGGCGAATTGAATTTTTTCTTGATTTCATAAAATGCACAAGCGTCACCAAAGAAACATTCCTCCTCGCGATCCATAATGGTTAGATAAAGTCACAAATTTCTTTTAGACTTCACTAAATTGAAAAAATAGCATCTAGCAAACTGTTTTTCAATAAGCCAATCAAAGCGGCAATGAATACCACAGCAGCTGACGTGATGAGACACACGACTTTTACGACGCATAGTGCTTGGGCCAGAAACTCACAATCTTTCCTGGTCGTAAAGGTTGGTCAAGTCATCGTCTGGGATATCTTATAAATTTTGCAAAATTACACACATATATGGCCTTTCATCAGCATGCCTTGACAAATTCACTGTTGATGAAAGAAATAAATGCAACTACATGTATGCTCCAAACTGTTTTTTTTTAAATTCAATATATACTTGTCCTAGCACTAGTGTATTTCCGCTCAGGGTCAATTTTGCATTATTTTGTTTTACTTAATTAAAACTTTTGACTTAAATTTTAATCGAGTTCCAATAATATTCAATGCAGACATAATAATGCATAAAAATACTGTAGAAATAATGATCCCCCCAAAAAAATTAGTACATTGTAGGCCCTACAACTTGATAAACAAAAAAGAAAACAAGAAGTACTGTTTAATGATGCAAAGTTCCATACAAATTTTGTTGCGTTAGTCATCTTCACGTATAAAACAAAATGAACGAAATTACTACGGAACCAACTCTGGTTTGACTTCCCAAAAGTAAGAAAAAGTACAAAGCTACTGTTTTTTCACTAACGCATATATAATAGAGATACGCATCTATTAATTTTTTCCTAGCCTTGCAGAATATCTTTGACATTACCTTTGAAACGTGACGATTGATGACGTAACTTGGCATGGTGTTAAATGACGTAAAGCGTACACGTTTCCTCCAAACTTTGTTTCAGTTGGATGTATTGGACTGATTGGGGAACGGAAGCAAAGATCGAACGCGCGCACATGGACGGCGAAAACAGACAAAGTGTGGCGTACACGGATCTATCATGGCCGAACGGAATAGATATTGACATCCCTGGTGAGATTTGAACGACATGGGATAATAAAACTTCATTTTCTTAGTGATAATTTCTTCTTAACACGTATGTATGACTCGCTCAGAAGTACTTGAATTACGATGTCTTTTCAAACCTTCATTATTTATTATTAAGACTTTATTTTTTATGTTTGCAAAAGTTGTGATGTAAAATTAAGGCCTTAAATAGTTTTTTCTAAATTCTAAACAAAAAACGTACACAAACACCTAATTATAAGTTCTTTTTACAGAACAGCAACTTTATTGGTGCGACGGAAATTATTCCAAAATTGAAGTGTCCGACCCAGATGGAAGTAACAGACGGTCTTTGATCGAAGCGGGAGATACTCTTGGTGGTCACTACTATGGCATTGCCGTGGACGACCAGCAGATCTATTTCACTGATTGGAAGTTCAATGCCTGGTACGACACTTCCATTTACAACATCTGCTATAAAAAATTCTGGACTAAAATGTTTTGTAAAATGCTGTTATGATCTTAATTAAAAATGTCTGCTAAATGCTTGGATGTGAATTTAACCTGGATTATGACACACATCTATCTTTAGAACTACTTTCTTAAACGTGTGAGAATACCATTACTTGAGCGTTGCAGAAATTCGTCAGAAGGGATTGGGTTAAACAGGCTTCCAGATTCATTTTGCTTCAAATTGTTAAATATACATGACAACCAAAATATGTTTGCATTCCCTTTAATGTAAACAAATGACAGCTATCACTTTCTGGCACACCAAACAAATCAACATGCCAAAAAATATTGCATCTTCTTCAAATATCTATCGTAAACTTAACCTGCCTGTCTGCCTCCGCCTCCAACCCCCACCCCCACCCCAACCATAAATTTGCAGTGGAAAGAAAAAATTAGACAAAAGAAAATCATAGAAGGAGGTATGATACTGTTCGAAACTATATGCGGTGGTATTTGGTTGGGTTTAGTGGCAATAATTTACTCTGTAATTTAATGTCGCTATTGCGAACCAATGCATTTCTTTCAAATCTGTTTATATCCATTGAGTTATATATTCAAGTTATCTCAAATGATTTGTATTCCTTTGTTTGTTTCTTTTGTTCCATTTTTGGTATTTTAATGACGCACATTTTAACAGGGCGTTCCACAGAGCCAACAAACACGACGGCAGTAACTCGACTGTTGCTGGCGCCAGTTTTATTCCAACGGCCAGGTTAACTGGTGTTCACGTGTACAGAAGGTCATATCATTTATCAGGTGAGGTCTGGGTTTGTTTACAGAAAATATAGTGTCGGTTTTTGGTACTAATAACCGTATGTTTTATCTATAAGTATATGTATACTCCCATTATTGTTGTCTTCAACGAAGTCCTTTGAGAAATTTGTAATTAGTCAGTAATTCTTAGCAGATACAGCCCCCGTTGCTTTACATGCGGTTGGCTATGCCGTTGTATCATTCCAAGTTTATCCCAATAGTTATAGATGTATTTCAGACATTTCAAAATTTTCCCGGAGTCTCTAGTTTTTGAATAATATAATCATGTACCCTGCAAATTCGTACGGTGACTTTTAAGACCATATTAAACAACGTGTAGAACTACCGCTCCCGACAATGCATTATTGTAAATGCTATAAAGTATCAGTAAACGTCTTACGAGCTTAGTGGACATATGGCTATTGCCTTTAGTCTCTGAACCCTGTTTACAAATGGACTACAGTAAAAAAATCAATCTAAGCTAAACAACCAGTAGTTTTATGCGAATAAGGCGCGTGTCACAAAGATGATGCACATCCAAAAGATACATAGTGGTATACAATAGCGCGTCTATATCCATATGTCATTGTACATCATTTCATGTCCTGGTATATCGCCACACATTAACAATTGCAAATGGCACCTTCAACTAATCCATGTACGTGCACTAGCTTGTACGTGCATGCGATGTCTTGTTGCAATTTACATTCTACTTGATATGGCAACTCTGTATTGTAGGTTCCAACGGCTGCAGCATAAACAATGGGGGTTGTCCATACCTGTGTCTGCCAAAACCCAACGGCAGAACGTGCGCATGCCCAGATGAATTGTCCGGTTGCATTTCGACTACATCTGCTACCACATCTACAACTACTGTTGTAACAACAAAGCCTACTACTATTACTACTACTACAACCACTTCGCCGACCACGACGACTACTACTACACCTACTACCACCACCACCACCACCACTACTACTACTACTACTACACCAACCACAACGATTACTACTACACCTACTTCAACTACACCAACAACCACTAAGCCAACCACGACGACTATTAGTTCAACAACAACAACGCCAACTACGGCTTCTACTACGCCTACTACCACCACCGGCACAACGACAGTGTCCGCTTTACCTCCCACGGTCACGCCAGCGTCTACCACCTCGAACGTAACTCCCACCACTGAAAAAAATGAAGCTCGATTTGAAGCAGGTAGTATGACTTCCAAAGGTCAAACATAATTATAAAATAGAACAGTTGACGTCTGATAATGATTTTGAATAGTAAAATTTTAAAGAGAGATTGTTTTATCTTCAAAAGGTGACTTTGAGACTGCAGTTGTTGCAAGAAAAATTGTTGCTGTAAATTTGATGATTATTTGCAAAAGCATCTAAAGTTTGCGGCATGTTTGCAAGAATCTTCAAATTTTGCTAAGAGAGATGTGCATTTTAATTGTTTCCCGCTATTGCCAGATACCCATTGTAGAGGTCAAATGTAAGAAATTTAAGATCTTGGAAATGTAATATCATCACTTTCGGCTTCATCAATTTCCTAAAAACTTTCTAAACATTGCTTTTATCTCCATCAATTTCGTAAAAACTTTCCAAACATTACAACATTTATTTTTATGATTCTAATAGTGAAAGGCGAGGACTCGGCAAGCATCCCGCTGGTAATTGGTGTCGCAGTGGCCACACCGTTGGTCACCGTTATTTTGGTGGTGGTCATCATACTAGTATTTCTTAGGAGACGAAGGTAATATATATATATATATATATATATATATATATATATATATATATATATACGCTTTCACAGACACACACTCTCTTTTTTCTCTCTCTCTCTTAATTTTTGTATTTTTGTAATTTTTCATTCATATGTTTCTTTATTAATTCATCTTGTCTACTGTGTATTTTATTGGTTTGGTTTCCCATTTTGCATATCTTTTACATGTAGTCAGTTCAGTACATTACTGTATATTTCCAATCGTAGAATTTTTCTTGCAAATAATTTATCATCCTTTTTTTCCCTTGAGATGGGACAAAAGTGGCGTACATTTGTGAATCTTATTTCAGAACACCGCTACCTGACCCACTAAACTTACATGTTCCTCACCTCAACCCCGCGTTTTCCGACGGTCCGGCACCTGCCCCGCCTAAATCACCTAAAGGACAACTTCGTGTGTCAACCAATTCGGACTATGACACAATTCCAGGTGATTACCTAACATCGACGGCAGATGATACTTATGAAGTACCAGTGACCCAAGAGGATCAGTATTCGGATTATGCCAGCATCTTACCGCAGCATGTCGACGTATAACCAGCAGCTTCAAAGGGGGTATCTCCCCCCCCCCCCTAAAAAAAGAAATTAGTGAACTCCCCGTCGACCCCTTCAGTTAAACCGAGGGTGAAGACAGCATATGTCTTCTTGTTTGGTTGACTCAACATAGGAATGGAATATATGAAACCTTTGTTAAGGACTTTTTCCTAGGCCAAAAACTCGGTTTTTCTCCCCCCCTCCCTTCTCCCCACCCCTATCAATACTCCTACCTACCGCCCTGTGTATAGGTACTAGTAATTTGAATAGAAACGATACAAACGGATATTCTCTACGCCGTTTAACAGCAGATTACTAACAAAAACAAAAAATTGATGTATATAAAGAAAAAGCAATTACAAAACGCTGACACACTGATAGTGGAACACAAATGACGTTATACAGTTGGAATTTTATGCAGTCATCTTCATGGGCTTACATTTTATTTTGTGTGGGAATTTTATTAAGCACCTTGATGTACGTCAACATTTGATTCAGAGTGTATGTTTTCCTGCCATG